AATTTGTTTTTGTAAAGGCTAATTTATTTATTTAATAAAATAAAAGTTCAAATCCATCAATTCCTAGGTAAAACTGGTAACTTTATATACATGTTTGAGTTATATTATTTTTGTATATGATAAATATATACTATGTTAATCGATAATTTTAGTACTTTCAGTTCAGTATCAATATTGTAAAGTTTTGTACCAAAAATTTTTGGTAATTACTGATATCGATACTGAAAAATATTTTCGATATTGGTTTTATGAAATACTATACCGAATGGTACCGATTGGAACCCTAGATTCACGTTAGTCTCCTGATGGATTTGAACTATACATGTTGTTGAAATTCATAGATCCTTGATACAATTGACGCAATTATTTGACGCAATTAATTGAGTCATTATTAAAACATATAAATAATTGAGTTATGATACAATTATTTTTGAGGATTTTGGGAATTGAGTCAATAGCAAAATAATTTACACAACATGTATAATTTGAACCATTATCTTGTGATCTGACTAACCACTATGCTATAGACCCACAGGTCTATTTATTTATTTATTTATTATTATTATTCATTAAATAAGTTGTTATAATTTTAAATGATTCACTTAATTTTAAATAACTTGTATAATTTAATTTATGTAAAAAAAAAATTTTTTTTAAAAAAAATTGTTGTTGTTATAGTGTGCAATATTATTAATGTTTTTGATAACACAATATAATATTAATGAATTACGGTGGTTGTTTAATATATCAAGGGCTGACGTAATTGGTATAACTGCTGTAAACCATTATAATCAAATAAAGGAGAATGCAAAACTATCAATTGCCCGGCTAGCTCAATCGGTAGAGCGTGAGACTCTTAATCTCAAGGTTGTGGGTTCGACCCCCACGTTGGGCGCATGACTTATTTATTTATAATTTTTTTGTTGCTTGTGTTACCCGAACCATCTTTTTAAATTACCTACGAAATCCATTCTTTTCGCCACTTAAGATTTACAAATGTCAACACCAAGTATTTCTTTAACATTTTATAATTTTCTTTGGGAATTGTTACGATAGATTATATAGTTTTTTTATACATGCAGATGAAACGGATTTGCAATTCATGAGAATTGCAATCGAACAAGCAAACCTTTCCGAACCAATTTCAAAAGCATATTGTGTCGGAGCAGTAGGAGTTCTTTTCTTTAAACAATCAAACCTTTATTTATTCATAATTTATTCCACGCTAATTTACCTTTTTCTAATTCGTAAATTGTAAACGAAACCAAAAAGGTCATAGTTAAAGATTCCAAAATTTTGGCAACGGGTTACTCGAGAGAGTTACCGGGAAACACCCATGCCGAAGAATGTGCATTACAAAAAATAGAAGATCCCACTCAATTGGCTGGCTCGATAATTTACACAACGATGGAGCCATGTAGCAAAAGGTTATCAGGTAAAAAGCCTTGTGTCGAAAGAATTTTGGAGAGTGGATTGAAAAGAGTTGTGCTGGGCGTCAAAGAACCTGATGTGTTCGTTAAGTGCGAAGGAATAGACATATTGCGAAAACGCGAAATCGAAGTTGTAGTGTTGGAAGGATTGGAAGAAGAGTGCTTAAAATGTAACAAGCATCTCTGGAATGATACAAATTAGACGTACAATAAATCCTGACCATATCATTTATGCTTTTTAGTTTATAAAAGACATCGGTAATAATCATTCTTGAAATTTGCATTAATTAATGATACTTATTTTAATCAATTAAATTTTATAGAAAAATAAATGATTTTTCTTTATAAAATTCATAATATAATAAGTTAAATATATTTAATTCTTTCAAGATAACCAATAGAGATTATTTTTCAAATTAATTATTTCCCTAATGCTACATCTACAGCGCATATATTTTAACAATTCATTACTTGTATACGCATAGCAAGGTTTTTTCAAGTCAGCCCAGGTTAACGATAATTCAAACATCAAATAAAAAAAGTTATTCGTAGTAAAAATATAAATATTTAACGAGTATTATATACTTTCTATTCTAATAATGGTTCCTCCTTGTAATAATACCTAGGTGGTAAATGGATTATATCAGATCCACTTTCTCTTCTATGAAATTTTTGAAAACTATAATGGTCCTACGATAATCAACATACAGTTGATTTATCTTTTAATTCCAAAAGTCTTTAATGTACGTATTGAAGATCATAAAGAGTTAAATACAGTAGATAGAACAAAAACTGTTTCTATAATACAATTCTTTTTAATAATCGATAGAATTTCTTGTGGAATTATTCTAACCAATAAAATCAATTACCGTAGACAACTTGACGTATTCTAGAAGTGCAATGTCTCCACTGTGCTCCGGTCAATGGAAAGTTGCAAAATACAATATACATTATTAACCTATTTTTAAAATTCTCATGATTTATAACATTGTGCTTTTTTTTGGTTTTGTAATATCGTAAACGAAAAAAAAAAAACATTATTTCGGGTAGATTTGAACTTTTCCTCGGTGTCAGTGGTTGACCATCACACAGATCTTTCCCTTTTTCTCGTATCATGCGGGTGTGGTCGGCAACCAACATAAAGTACTTATTTCTAACAAAGTGAAGTGTTGTTCACCTCTTCGTCAGGGAAGTGATTTTTTCCAAAAAAAGACGATCAAAGCTACTTAAACTTGTTCCATACAGGCACCAATGTATTGCAATTTTAGACAAAGTCTTTTGTGTAATGCAAAAGCCAATTTGTCAATTTGGGCGCATACAAGTACGGTAACGTTAATTCCCAAAAAACTATAAATAAACATCCGTTTCCTTCAACCATAATTACAAAATAATTTTCTGGAATGGAAACTTACACAATGGGACAAGCAAATTTTGAGTCAGATATTAGAATAGAGGTTAATTCCGTAACAAGTACTAATTTTGAGATGGATGAAGCACCAAATGATGTCAACATGGATTTAGACGAACACCAAAACATAAATCTCACGGCTGCCGCTGCAAGACAGGCATATGACGCTGTCAGCTCATTCGCACCTTTTGTGCCATATGTAGAATCTATTTTCGGTGTGATCACAGAGATCATAAATATTTACGACAATGTCGAATACAACAAAAAAACATGCCGTGTTCTGGTGGATCGCGTTGAAACTGTGAAAATAGTTATTCGCAAGTTGATTCGTCGTAAGGATGAAGAAGAATTGTTCCGCGATCAAGATTATTACCATGCCTTTATTCGTCTTGATAATGTATTGAAGAATATCAAAAGGTTTGTTCGTGAGGTGTCGCAGTACAAGAATTTGCGTAGAGTCCTTCTTGCAAGAAATATTCAGGAAGAAAGCCAGGATCTCATGAGGAAATTAGAAAACGCTTGCAGTGATTTGAAATTTGGTATCATTATTTCAATAGAGGAAAGGCAAAAGGAGCAAGCGAGTATAAAAGAGGATTTTGATAATATGAAAAATGTAAGAAAGAGAGAACTTGTTAAATTGTTTGTCGTTCGAATGTTCATACGTTTAATCTTTGAATTTAGATGATGAGCTCGTGGGATGATAAACTCAACTTGCTTATTGCACAAATATCGGAAATGACGCAAACTGAACGCGGGTTAAAGGTAGATTTTGTGGATCCGAACAGATTGTCCCAAAGAGTTATGGGAAATCGAGGGAGAATAGTTAAAAGGATTTTAGATCAGTTTATGCCGGTGGCGTGTAAACCAGTGGTGATTGGAAGGGATGAACAGAATTCACAAAAATTCAAAAATAAGCTGGCCATCTTGGGAAAATTGCACGCGTCACCGAAAATCATTAGATTCTACGGACTTTCGACTTACGACGGTATTAACTACATGATCTTCGAATGGGCCGAACTTGGAAATCTGAAAAATTATTATCAAACCGAATACATCTCTCCGGAGAAGAAGCTTCAATTTGCAACAAATATTGCCGAGGGTCTTAGATTTTTGCAAGTATGCGGTATCTATCATCACGACGTGCGTTGTGAAAATATTATGGTATGTATGATTTTGCTCCTGAAAATTCGAGAATAGACTAGGTCGCTAAAGTCTTTCATTCGGCCCATGTAGATCACGAGAGAGGATAATATACACACCACTGCAAAACTCGCAAATTTCGACATCAGTCGAGAGATTAGTAAGGAAACGACGATGATAAGTGATATCTCGGAGTTGGTTCGTTGGATGGCCCCCGAAAAATTGGCCAACGGGGGTGAACCGAGTCGGAATAATTACACATACCCCTGTGAAGTGTTTAGGTAAAAATTTGATGCAATTTTACATGCATGCTCATGTTGCATAGTAAAAATCATTAATCCTTTTTTTTATTTTTCTTCCCGATCTTAGCTTTGGAATGCTTCTATGGGAACTTTTACTTCAAAAACTTCCGTACGAGAAAATGAGAATGGATGAAATTTGCAAACACATCAAAGAAGGGAAACGTGAATTTCTAAATTTCCCACTTACCCTTGCCCCCACGGACATGCTAAATTGCTTCAAGCAAATCATCAAAAAAGGTGTGTGAGTGTATGAATGCTCGTATTCGTAATTCTTTAAAACGATACTAACGTTTGCAAAATATTTTAGCGTGGGCACAGGATCCGAACGATCGACCAACAATCATCGAATTACATACGCAACTTCAAAATTTGCTCTCTTCTCGTTCTCCTGGAATAGCGCCAAAAACCGACTATGTTCCATACTTTGAAGCTCCGAACAATTACGCGCATAAAAATTACTGCAATGATTTTGATGAACACGTAAACCTTGTCGTGGATGATACTGCATCCATTGAAATAATAATTCCTCTTGAAGAAGGTCTTAGACTTCACAAGGAAAGCAGAGGATGTGAGAAGGCGTGGAAATGTTTCGAAAAACATGCTTCTCTTGGTGATCCCCTCGCTATTTATTGGAAAGGATACTACTTGCACGAAGGATATTATGTGGAAAAGAATTTCGATGAAGCTACCAAGCTTTTTAAAGAGGCCGCCGATATGGGCTTGGCAGACGCACAATTGCGTTATGCATTTAGCTTACTGGAAATGAGGAACCCTTATAATTATCCCGAGGTTATGTCATACCTTGAGAAGGCAAGACTGCAAGAAAATCCAACGGCGTTATATCATCTTGGTGACATTTATTACAATGGAAAGCTGGACATTGAGAAAGATGAGACCAAAGGGTTGGAATACCTAAAACTCGCTGCTATAAAGAAACAGCCAAAAGCCATGGAATTTTTTGCAAAAAACAAATTGGAATTTTTGGAATAAAGACAATAAACGTGGTGGATCATTAATCCTAGTAATAGTGCTTTGAAAACCGATTGTATGAACATTTGATAAAGTAATCCTTATTGCAACAAATTTTCGATAACTAAAATCAATTAATTTATTTAGAAACAAAAATTGCTCATGTTATTTATTGTGATGGGTGATACGTATACTATACTATACAATTATAATAATAACAAACAAATAAAATGAAGTAATTCGTAATATGAGTAAACGAAATAATAGATATTTATTTTTTTTTATAATTTATAATAGACAAGTTTCATTACTTTTATTAATGGTGTATATAAAAAGCTTATACATAATACTATGCATATTATTAAAGCAATACAGTATACTGTATGTCTCTTAAACTAATCAAGTTAAACATTAACTAAGCCAATTTATTTTTTAAAGATATGTCAAAATCAAGACCCGCAGTTAACTGATACATGTAATCATAAAGACAAACAATGAAAACACAAAATAAAGAAATAATAATAATTATTATTATTATACGATATAATTTTTTACTTGATATACAATATTTAACACATGCAATTATAATTTATATATGAAATATGAGATAAATTATTTTAATTTTAAAATTCGTAAAAATAATTATATCATAACTTAATTGTTTTATATATTTTAATGGTAACTCAATTAACTGTATCTCATAATTAGAATATATTGATTATAAAAATTTTTTATAATTTTTCAAGTAAGATACAGTATATATTATAATTGATTTGATCAAAAAACTTATATAATAAATAACATAAATAAACAAAAAATTTTTTTAAAAATAATAGATTATAATAAAATTATTATATATTGTTATAATAAAATATAATAAGTTTATTGTATTGATTTTTTTATATTGTATAATAATAAAAACATTGATTTTTTTAAAAAATCATATATATTTAATTAAAGTTTTTATAATAATACCAATAAATTTATTTATTGATTTTATTAATAGTAATTTTTTATATAATTATTTTAAAAAAAAACCAATTAATATTTTATAAAAATATATATATTTTTTTATTTAATAAATAATAATATAATTTATTATAAAAAATTTTTTTTAAAAATTTAAGAAACAAATATTTTTTTCACTTTTTAATATTCAAAAGTTTTTCATGTTTTTTTTATCTTCATTATAAAAATCTTAAAAAGCTAAAAACATATACTAATGTATTGAAATAAAACTTTTAGTCAAAAAAAAACAAGTTTGAAATATTGTTTTTCTTTTAAATTACATAAAAAAAAGCTTATGACAATTATTTTTTTATAAATTTTCCTTGAAATATTTTTTATTTCTCTTCTTATTGATATATATTTTTTATTAAATAAACAAAAATTTTTTTTAAAGAATTGTTTTTTTATTTAAAAAATTAAACTTTATATTAAAATTATAACTTGAAGCATTAGTAATATATATAATATCTATTTTATAATATTATTTAATATATCTTATTATATCACAAAAAATTAAAAATCTTTATTAAATATTTTTTTATCAAAAAATTATAATTAATCTATTTGTGTTAATTACACAGTAAAATTCGATATGGTGGATATTTAATATAGTGAAAACATATAAAAATCTTGATTTAATAAAATAGACTCAAAAATAACTATAATAAAATAATCTTGATATAATAGATTTAATAATAAAATTTAAAAAAATCTCATTATAGTAGAATTTTCAAAATTTTTTATTAATTGTTCTAAGGTTACATTATATCGAATTTTATTATTTAATTACTATTTCAAATTCAATTAATTAGATTTTATCAAATATCAAAACAAATTTATACTATTAATATAAACAAAAATATTTTAAATAACAAGAATTAAAAAAAAATAATATTATTGATAATTAAATTAATTATTATATTATTTATTAATTATACTAATGTAATAACAATAATAATAATAATAATAACGAGATTTGTGGATCCATAGTATAATATATACATGTGGTATAAATTATTTTGCTGTGAATTCAATTCCCAAATTCTCAAAAATAATTATATCATGACTCAATTATTTATATGTTTTAATAGTAACTCAATTAATTGTGTCAAATAATTGCATCAATTGCATCAGAGATCTATGAATTTCAGCAACATATATAGTGTAATGGTTAACACTTCACAGGTCAAATCACAAGATACCAGTTCAACCCTATATAAAGGTGATTGAATAGAATTAATATGATATCTGACATCATAACTTATAAAAGTACTGTTTCTTATAAAAAGCCATTTGTAACATTTAATGTGTGAGAACATTATAATATTAGGATTAATAAAGAAAAACCTTATTAAATATGAGAAAACTAGACAACTTTGTTATTTTCTAAAGGAAAAAGTGCTTCCTTATATAGATAATTTTTCTATATAAATAAATAAAGTAATAATACATAATTGAATATAATACATATAATCTTATTGGTCCTCCGGAGATCATATGCATGTAATAAAAGATAAAAATAAAATAAAAACAAATAGAAAATAAATAATAAACATTAATTAATGCAATTAATTAATACAGTATCAAACTATTTATAGAAATATCCCTTATAATCCAAATAAGTCAAATAAGATTAATAATAAAGATTCTATTGGTATTTTACCAGATACCAATGATAATTCCATATTTAACTTGGGTTCTAGTCATTACAGAATGTGACAAATATTTGTATGACTTATAAAAATATAGTTTCATTAATATTTCAAGTTCCAGATATCCTAAAGAGATACATTTGAATAATTGTATTCCAATTGTAATGCTCCTTCTATTGACTTGTTTGTGTCACTTGTATGATATATATTGTATCACCCCTTTCACCATTTGTATTGTTACACCATTTCATACTTTAATCTAGTGGATGTTAAGATTGTGATTTCTAGAAAAGATGTTATGGCATGACAATTGTCTAGTTAGTGTTACGATGATCACTGGAAGTTGTAAGATATATAATATATCCATTTTTGACAAGCAGGTTTGATGATTGCTCCTCTAATATCTGGCATCTTTCTGTAAATTCCTGTTTTAGTCTTATCCTAATTTAGTAATAAACTAGTCTAGTAGTGTTTATTCCGAGAAGGTATTTGGCAGTAAGGCCTGCTTTATGCAAAGTTATGTAAGTTGCTATTTAGACAGTAAGAATCAGTTATAAGTTTATCTTGAACATTCTTGAGTATTATTTAGGCAGGTAAGAAATTAAATGGTTAGTTCAGCTGCAAATAATAATAAAGAAATTTATTTCAATAAAGCAAGCAAATGTCATGTAGCTTTATTTGTCATATAAAGAATATTACTTCCAGTGTACTTTTTCATTTCCCATTAATTTTTTCTCAATAAATAAAGCAATTAGTAAATCTACCAATGACTTGGCAAAACAAACAAGGCTTTGGCATGTTTATATTAATCTCTATCCATTAGAAAAAATTGTTAGCAACAACTAATATGTGAAGAAATCCCTATATAGTTTAACATATATAAAGATAAATTAATGTTATAACATAGTTCTATATAGAAATATATATTAATATATATAAATATTAATCTTAATAAAGTTTGTTAAGCAAGGTTTACACTAGTATTTAAAATAATAATAATAATAATAATAATAATAATAACAAATAATATTAGTTATGCTTTTTTTTTTTTAATCCCGCAATCAGGTTGGTGTCGTTTATTTATTTAATCATAAAGAACCATTACAAGTTGAGAA